CACATCTACATCACCGTGGTAACTAAGGCCACACAATTACATCACCCTGGTAGTTAAGGCCACACAATTGCATCACCCTGGTAACTAAGGCCGCACAACTACATCACCCTGGTAACTAAGGCCACACAATGACATCACCGTGGTATATTATATTCACCTTTAAGTTGCTGAAATGCCAGGATTCCAGCTGTTTCTATTAATAATTACTCAAACTGATTGATTACAACTAATTGATTATCAGCTGAAACTTTGATTAGTTGTTGATTATTAGATGGTTTCTCTCCCTCAGTCAGTAGCTCTGTGTTGATCCACATCAGGTCCACTTTGGTTCTGGTAAGTCTGGATCTGGTTCTGGTTCAGTCCTGACAGTGAACTTCATATTTCTGAGGTCACATGTGGAGAACAGTTCTTCAGGTTATAACTCTCCAAACCTCGTGCTTGTTCTCTGAGAGCATGTTTCTGGCAGCAGAGTCAGAAGTTTATCTCAGAAAACACTTCAAACGTGATGATTCAGCAGCAGAACCCACCACACTTCCTGTTTTCAGCTGCACAAGAACAAGTGATGCAGATTTTACTCGTCAGTCGTCATTCGGACGTCCCCCCAAGTTTCCTGGAAACAAACTGCAGGCAGAAGAGAAAGTCACACGACCAGTCACAACTCATTGTTCCTCACTGTGGCTCATTTTTCACTGAAACATAAAGTCCTGCATCTCCGTGGAAACAGAGCTACCATGGCGAGGAGGAGAGACAACTCAGAAATGTTTTCTGTGTGATATGACATCATTAATGTGATAAAAATTATTTTTCTTTTTAAACAAAAAAACATTTCACTTTCTACTGATTGGTATTTGCCATGTCATGTCATCTGGTGTTTTTCCGTTGTGCTTTATTAAGTCCAGATTCAGTGCTGCTGCCTACCAGCACATTTCAGTGACCATCATGTGACTGTACTTGGTTGGCTGACTCCCCTGACCTGAACCCCGTGTGGAGTATTGTAAAGCGGTACGATGCCTATAAAAAGTATTCAGCCCCCTTGGAGGTTTCACCCTTTTGTTTGCTTTTATACATGAACTCATGGTCAATATCATTTGGCTTATTATCTATATTATCTTTAATATCATAGTGAAAACAGATTTTTATAAACTAATGTCAATTAATTGGAAACATATAGTGTAAACTAAGTGTCTGCATAAATATCCACCCCCTTTAAAGTGACTGACCTGATTTAACAGGTCCAGCCAGTTGATGCCAACAGTGTGACAGCCAGTGAAGTGGACATCACCAGAGTGTCAGGTAATGGTAGTATCAACACACCTGTGTCTGGGAGGTCCAGTCTCTGGTTCGTCAGTGTTCCTGCTGCAACTGCTACATGAAGACAAAAGAGCACTTCAAGCAACTCAGAGAAAAGATCATTTCAGAGTATAAGTCAGGAGCTGAAAGGTTTCCAACTCACTGGACATCCGATGGAGTTCAGCTAAATCCGTCATGAAGAAATGGAAGGAGTACGGCATTTGTTTAAATCTGAGTGAAGACTAGTGAGGGGGTCCACCAGGACACCTACAACCACTGTGGAGGATTTGAAAGCTTCAGTGGTTCAGATTGGAGAGACTGTTCATAACAACAACTGTTGTCTGTTCTTCACCAGTCACAGCTTGATGGGAGACAAAGAGAAAGACTCAAACAAAATCTCGCCTGAAATTCCCCCGAGACATGTGAGACACTCCAAGCTCAACTGGAAGAAGGTTCTTTGGTCTGATGAGACAGAAATTGGGTTTTTGGTCATCAGACCAGACACTATGTTTGGCAAACACCAAACACTTCAAAATCACCAAAAACACCACCTGTACCGTGGAGCATGGTGGAGGCAGCATCATGATGTGGGGATGCTTCTCAGCAGCAGGCCCTGGAAGGCTTGTAAAGGTCGAGGGGAACATGAATGCTGAATAATGTCACCAAATCCTGGAGGACAATCTGCAAGAGAACTATATCTTAGGAGAAGATTTATTTTCCAGCAAGACAACGACCTCAAGCATGCAGCAAAAGCTACACAGAAATGGTTCAAAGACAACAAAGTTCTGGAGCGGCTGAGTCAAAGCCCAGGGCCCTGTAGTACCAAGCCAGATCAACATACCAGGATATGTTTCAGAGATCCGGCTTGACTAACCCTAACAGCCCAATCAGGGTAACCGGTCCTACGACGGTCATCAACTCGGTCAGTCAACCCAGATCTGTCTGATCTGAGTGTGAGCGCGTAGGAGCGAGTATTTATGAAATCATTTACTTTGTATATGTTTAATTCACCGACATTATTTAGTAAAATTTGTTCTCACTTTAATCTAATTTTTTGTTTTCGCAAATTCTTGTAAAAAAAAACAAACAAATTTATATTGGCCATGATTTCATGAGTAAAAGCAACAACAGGGTGAAACATCCACGAGGGAACATACTCTGTGTCAGAGACCTTATTGGACTGATCTTAGGAAATATTCTAAGAATCAGAATCAGCTTTAATGGCCAAGTACGTACACAACATACAAGGAATTTGGTTTCGGCTGTTGGTGTCACCCTGGGAATTTACACGAATAATAGAAATAGGAAAATTAAAAGATAAAATAAAACAAAGTAAAATAACTAAAGAAAGAAAAGAATAAAATACAATAAATATTTAAAAAAAACAAAACAAGATATTAAGACAAATATATACAAGAATTTACACATCTAGTAGTAAAAGGTTTATGTACATTAGTGCAAATAGAAGCTGTGGTTGGAGTGGATCAGCTGTTCAGTAGCGTCATGGCAGTGGGACAAAAACTGTTCTCATGTCTGCTGGGTTTAGTCTGCAGGACTCGCTATCGCCTGCTGGAGGCAGGAGGGAGAACAGCTTATGACCAGGATGAGTGGGTCTGTCATGATGTTCCCTCTTCCTGGTTCTACTGGAGCACAGGTCCTGGATGGAGGGCAGGGGGGCTCCGTCCTGGTTCTA